AATTTGCACCCACAACAAGAGCAGCCGGCGAACAAGGGCAGAAGAGCAGAGCAGATCCGGCTTTTCCAGTAGGGGAGGGAAGATTTCTGGGTTCTAGGAGTGTTCTAGAGCAAGAAAAGAAGGAGAAATCCAAGTTTTCTCACTAGTTTCTCAAGCATGGCTGGGTTCCCCTTTTTTTTTTTTTTTTTCTCGGGTTGCAGCGGGAAGACGAGCAGAAACGGGCTGGAGAAGAAAGAGGAAAAGGGAGAAAAGAAATAAGCCATCCTTATCCAAATTCTACTCTTTTAAGCCCCTTGACTTTTGAAATATTCACTATTAAGCCCCAACATAATATTTCCTCTCATAAAAGTCCTTAACTTAATGCTAAATATCACAAAATTTCAGGGTATTACAAAATTTGTGTCCTCCATTGGGCCCTCCTTATTTTCCTTCATAGGCCCATTAATCAAAGAAGAACAGTCCAACGGGTTATCTTTACATTGTCCCAAATCTATTTCTGCTACCATTTCTCTAATTTCCTTGGACCGGCCCATCTTCCTATTTGTCTCTACGTCCTTCTCCTTTTTGTTAAAACCCATTTGTGCCATAACACCAATCCCAAAGCTACCATTTGAACCTCTATAGATCTCCCCTGCCATGCTTTCTTTTTTACCTGCACCGACTTCCTTGGAAAACATCATGCATTTATGGCTTTGTTTTTCTTGCGCCGCCTGTAGACTATCACCAACCATCTCCATTGACCCTTCCCTTCCTTCTATTTCTTGTAGTAATCTATATCTGCCACCTCCTTCATTAATGCTTGCTTCCTTCTCCTCGACGTCACCTCTTTTTTCAAAATTTTGAAAATTTTGAAAAGCAAACGATTTTTCCTTCACCCAGGTCTTGCAGGTTGTCTCATCAACATCTTCACCAATGTCTTCTTGGATTTGAAAGAATTCATCCCTCTGTAACTCTCCCAGTTCACTATCCCAGGACCATGCATCTTCGTCTTCATTTGGGTTCACCTGTGGATAAGCACGCTAAAAATCCGATTTCAGAGGGAACAAACCATTTGTTGTCTCTTCCTCAGCTACTTTGATCTGAACCATATCCTCATTAATTTTGAATTTGAAGGATTTTGAGATAGCTTCTGTTGCTGGAGTGGAGATAAGAGCTCTAGCTATGTCAAAACGTTTTTTGAGCCTTGTGCTATCATCTAAAGAAATGAACTTTCTCCACATTGTTGTAATTGTTGCGAAAAATTTTGAATTCCAGCTGTTCGGCGGAACACCCTGGATCTTCAGCCAAACGAATCTTTCCGATGCAATTATTGTTGGTGCATATTCTTTAATCTCGGCAAACCACTGTCTGAGCCAATCCTTCCCTGTTTCTACAAGATTCTTGAGTTCTTCCTTGTCATCAACATCTATCAATACAAGCTTGCCACCCATTGCACGAGTTCTAATCTAAGGAATGCCTTCCATCAATAATTTCTCTTGAAGTAGTGGCACCATCTCCACCGCGTGGACTTCTCCTACGTAACACCCCTTCAGCCATGTATACTCTTCCTTTTCCACAACAAATTCCAATCCAGACCAGCATTTTCCATCCTGTTTGGCTTTCCATTATCTCTTACCCATTTTCCCTATCGTGGAAGGTCCACCCCTTGTGCTCTCCTTCTCCCCTGGGATCGACGCTCCTCTAACCACTTCTGCGAAGCTTCTTTTATCCCTTTCATTTCGTATGATGGCTGTTTTTTCTTAGTTTCGAGTGGCATGTTTCTCCTGCTTTTGCTGAAGCTTGGCCAGTTTACTCTTAGCTTTAATCCGTCAACGACAATCATATCCAACTGACTCTCCAGTGCTATTTCATCTGCAACTCCCTGAAATCTAACAAAGCTGAACCTTTTGCCATCTTTTCCTTTTCTGTTCGGACAATAAATGTCTAAAACTACGCCAAACTTCTTGAATGTTCTCCACATCTGTTCAAAAGTCCATTCTGCCGAAGAGTTTGTAAAAAAATATGCAGTGGCTTGGTTATACACCCTAGGATCGAAAACTCTTGCTCCCTCGTCTCTCTTCCCTTGTCCTTTTGCAGTTCGATTTCCATGTGTAAACCCTCCTCGTCCTTGGCTTCTAAACCTGCTCTTGCTCTGTGCTGTCCTCCTGTCTCGAGTCCTTAGTCCTTGGTTTCTCTCTCTCTCTCTACCTCTCTCTCCCATCTTTACTTGAACTTTTAAGGCCCGACAGTTTTTGTAAATCTTATGAAAGAATATGATTATAAGCAGCAGCAATGAAAATTTGAAATTAATAATATAACATAAATCTTGTTATTAAATGAATTAAGTATAGAAAATATCATGAATCTCCAAAAATAAAAATAAGTTAATTGTTAAATAATATAAGTTTAACTTTTTTAATATTTTAAATGAGGGAATTATTTGTTTCAAATTTTCATATCAAAATTTTTTACCCTCTATCTATTCTATGATTATTTATCAAAACAATTATGCAATAGCCATTATAACTATAACTTTTGTTAGAAATTATGAAATTACAAATTTACCCTGTCCTTCCGGTCGTCCGCCTTCCTCTCCCATCTGTGGGAAAACCGTAGAACAATATAGGTTAATATTAGAAAAGATAAAATTTTTTTCTATCTTAAGTGCTTTTATATCCTGGATAGTTAAAGTGCAGATGACAAAATTAGCATGTAAAAAGGAGTTACAATTTTTATGTATTTTAGGATGTATTTACACAAAAATTTTATATACATTATTTATAAAAAAAATTTTAACCATTTATCTCTCTATTACGAATGAT